CGCGCCCTGGGTCTTGAGAAAATTATTATCCTGTGCTTGTACCTCTGCTCACGAGGGGGGAAGGACGAGGCAGGAAGGCTGCATCGAAGGGTCAGGAGTGGAAAGGAGGAGGAAGAGAAGGAAGAGGAGGCAGAGGAGAACGGGAAACACAATGGAAGCGGGAAGAGGGGGACACGAAGTAGGAAAGAAAACAGGATGGGAAGAGGAGCGGGCTGGAACGCGGAGGCAGCACGAAAAGGCAAGGAAGGGGGATGTTCAAATGACCAGGTGGAGGGAAGAGAAAAGTTGCGAAGAACGAGCAGGACGGGGAGGAGGGCGGAGGGAAGAAAGCGGATGCAGAGTGACCGGGGGGATAAAAGGGGCCCACGGAACTAAAGCACCCCGACGCTAGGAACCCACATATCGAACAACTCCCAAACCAATACTAAAGTAAACCTCGTCGTCGCCTTGTGGATACAGAGGCGCTCTTCCCGTCCCCGCATCGTTCTTCTCCTTCCTGCCCTTTTCGGAGGCCCTCTCCCAGTCTTGTAGTCTGCCTTCCCTCGTCCTCCTGCATCGCTTCCCCTATCCACCTCCTCCCTCGCACCTCTAATCTGGCAACGAACGTAGATTTCCATTGGCGCTGTTGCCGCCACGGCTCGCATGCGCGCTTCCCCCGATGGCCTGATCGCGAAGCCTCCGCGTCAACCCATCGTGCCAAGCCTTTAGGACAACCCCGCGAACAGCAGGGGTGCGGGGGGACTCCGTTGTGGCAGCCCCGCAATTCTTGAGCCAGTCGCGGCCGCGCTCAGGCGGGAATCGCCACGAAACCCAGCTCTGCCGCGAACTGTTCCGCCGCAGCCGTGGGGTTGTTGTCTGTTCTCCTGTCGCAGCAGCCCTGAGCGCCTTCCGCCCAAACGCCAGCGGCCCGCATTCCAGCAAAAACTTTGACCGTGGGCGGCCGCAGGACCCGCATGTTCCGCATGCGCGTGGCGCAAAACATGACGAAGAAATTCAGGCACCCCTGCTCGTCCGACATGCCCGTGCGACCAGCGCCACCATCGCTGGGGCAGTTGGTGGTGACGCCCTCGCGCAGCGTCTGACCCTGCGGCGGCGTGGAGGTCAGGTGGGACTCGTGCGCCAGGGTGGCCCCGAGCGGCGCACGACGTGCGTCCCCGATCTCTTCCTCGCGAGCTCCTGTTCGCTGGACCTGAACATGGGCCAACGCGTCGCCCGCGCCTCGGCCCCGCAGTCGTCGTCAACGCTTTCGGTTCCCGCTCAAAATTTTCTCGCGATTCCTTCACAGACGAGCCGCTTGGTTCCCACCTGAGACTCCTCGCAATTCACTCACAGACGAGGCTCCCGCTCGAGACGTCCTTCGCATTCAAAGCTCAGGACGAACAGGTTCCCGATGACCAGCTCGGGTTAATCACATCGGCTGCGGGCCCCGTGGGGAAGGTGCTGGAGGCTTCGTCGCAATCAACACACACACGAGATACTCAAGCTTGAAGACACCAAATGTCACGACAATTACAGGTTCCCGGTGACCCGGTCGGATTCATGATATGAACTGCGGGCCCCATATGGTGGGGGATTTTTGCCTGAGAACTCGTCGCAATTTACTCACCGACGAAGCTTTCGCCATATATGCCCTCCATATTCAAACTTGAAGAGGCCAAACATGATGACGATTACAGGTTCCCGATGTCCCGCCTGGATCAATGACGTGAGCTTCGGGCCACGAACGGCGCCCATGCACCGTACCATATTTGGATTCCCTTTCAGGCCCCTCTCCAGCGCGGTGCGGTGCACAGTTTGGCTGCCCCGAGGGCCGCGAAAACTCTGCACCGTACCACTCCTGGGTCGAGGATTGGCGACGCCTCGGGAGACGCCAGAGCGGCACGGTGCATACAAGTCGTCCGCGGGCATAGGGAGGGGGCTCCCGCCTGAGACTTCCTTGCGTCTCACTAACAGACTGGGCTCCCGCCTGAGACTTTCTTCATACTCAAGCTTGAAAAGGGCAACAGTGACGACAATTACAGGTTCCCGGTGACCCGCTCGGATGAACGACATAAGCTGCGGGTCCCAAAAGGGGGAGTGAGGGGGGCTCCCGCCTAAGACTTCATCGCAATTCACTCACGGACGAGGCTCCCGCTTGAGTCTTCCAGAGGATGAATTTGCGAGTGTGCGAGTGAATGCGAAAACGTGGTGCGGTGATGGTGATGAAGTCGTGGTGATGGAAAGTGGGAAAATTGTGTGGTGATGATGGTGATGGTGATGACCGATTGCCATGCTGGGATGATGGTCGTGATGGTTGATGATGATGATGATGATGATGATGATGATGATGATGATGATGATGATGATGATGATAAGAAGATGAAGATGAAGATGAAGATAAAGATGAAGATGATGATGATGATAATAATGATGATGATGATTAAGATGGTGATGAAGATGATGATGATGATACTGATGATGATGATGCTGATGATGATGATGAAGCGGCTGATGATGATCATGATGATGATGGTGATGATGATGATGGTGGTAATGATGACGATGGTGATGGTGATGGTGTTGGTGGTAGTGCTGGTTATCATGATGCTGATGATGATGGTAATGATGATGGTGATATTGATGGTAGTGATGATGATGATGATGATACTCATGCTGCTGATGCTGCTGATGATGATGATGATGATGACGATGACGATGACGATGACGATGGTGATGATGATTCTGATGATGACGATGATGCTGCTGATGATGATGGTGGCGTGGTGATGATCACGATGAGAACGTGGGGATGTTCTGGTTCTTCCACGCCAGCAAAACAACACATTTAGGATGTGGATAATCCGCCGACCCTGTCAGCGTGTGGAAAGGGCTGTCCCGTTTCAGTCGTTGTCGTCGTCGTCGTCATCGTCGTCATCGTCGTCGTCATCGTCGTCATCGTCGTCGCGGCGTCGTCATCGCTGTCGCCGTCGTCGTCGTCGTCGTCGTCGTCGCAGTCGCCGCCCGAAACAGGAGGAAATCGAACACCGTAGCAATCGTGGCGAAGCCCCTCCCTCCTCTCCCCCCGCAAGGGGGGGAGAGTCTGGGGGGGGGTCCCGGGGGAGGTCCCGGGGGGGTCCCGGGTGAGATTACCATTCCCCTGGCGGGTCCTGGGGCCCAGAAAAGCCCCAAGACGGCCAAGAGACCCCAAGACATTCCAAGAGGGTCCCGAATTGCCGAAATATCGCTCGAAGACGCCAAAGTAGCCTCCAAACGCCTTACGAGTTTTCCAAGACTGGCCCCAAGACAGCACAAGAAGACCCCACGACGGCCCAAGAGCGCCCAAAAGACGTCCCAAGAGGGCCCTAAGGGGCCAAAATCAATGAGTCCCCTCATGTTTTTCAAAAATTGTTTCATTTCCGCCTTTTCGGCTTTTCGACGCTCTAAGACGGCCCAAGGCGCCCCCAAAATCGCTCCAAGATGGCACAGGAGGGTCCCAAGAGGACCCTAAGAAGGCCCAAGAGGGCCCCAAGCCGGCCCAATAGCCGTCCAAGACTGCCAAAGAGGGCCCCAAAACGGCTCCAAGAGGGGCCCCAAAGAAGGACCACGAACGGAAAATGCAAGCCTTCTGCCACCACCACCACCACCACCACCACCACAAACCACCCCCCCCACCCCCCCGAGAGGACCCGAAGAGGCCCCAGAAGGCCTCCAAGAGGCCCCCAAGAGGCCCCCGAAGAGACCCCCAAGAGCCCCCAGAAGCCCTCAAGAGATCAAAAAAAAAACCGCCAGACGCCCCCAGGAGCCTCCAAACAGGCCCCAAGACGCTCCCGAGATACTCCCAAACTACCCCCGTCGCCGCCGTCGTTGTCGTAGCCGTCGTCGTCGTCGCCGTCGTTGTGGCTGTCGTCGCCGTCGCCGTCGCCGTCGTCGTCGCCCTTCAGGGTCGGCGGCACCAGCTGCAAGGCCGTCGCAATAAACCAGACATCGGCGGTCTGTGTGAGGAGCCTGCATGGCCGAATATGGTTGAAACACAACGTACGGGTGGCTGATGGGAAACGATCCCTCGACTTGGGTTGAATTCTAAGGGCCCGCTTGGGCCGCCTTGGGGCTGTCTCTGGGCACGTCGGGGGGCCCTCTTGGGCCTTCTGGGGGGGGTTATTGAAGCTCTCTTTGGGCAATATTTGGGTCCTCGTCTGCTGTTTTAGAGCCCTCTTGAGCCGTGTGGGCCCTTTGAGGTCGTCTAGGGGGCTCTTGGGGTCGTCCTTGAACCCTGTTGGGCCCTCCTACGGCCCTCTGGGGCAGCTTTGGGCCCCGTCTGGGCAGTCGTGGAGCCAGCTAGGAGATCTCGCGGGGCAGTCGTACAGGGTAATCATCGGGGCCTTAGGCCATCTAGAGCAGCAAGCGGCAAGCGGCAAGTGGCAGTGCCAACATTGTCGAACAAACGTTTCACGAACATCAGCGACATTAGCCTCTCAAGGGCCTCGTGGGACCTCTTTTGGACCGCCCCAGGGTCCCGGGAGTCATGGAATCTTACTTATTGGTCTGTGGTTAGGTCCATTCGCGCTGCCTTCCTGGCATCGGGGACGCCTGGGGACGATCTGGGGCCGTCGGGGCGCGATCTTTTGGTCGGGGTCCCGGGACAGAGGCCCTGAAACCCTGTACTGTACTGTGATCAGGGCCGCGACAGCGAGGGGCCCTGGACATGGCCCCCGCTCTCCCCCTTGATCCTCCAGCTTCAGCCGGCTCTGCTCGCCCTCCCTGGCCAGCAGCTCCCGCTGCGAGCTCAGGGCAGCCTCCAGGTCGGCGACCTGCGAGGTGAGGCTGGCCTCCATCCGCTGCTGCGAGCTCTCCGCCTCCTGCAGTCGCAGCCTCTCCTGCGCGACCTCCTCTCGCTGCGCAGCCAGGGCCGCCTGCAGCTGCTTCTCCGACAGCTCCCTCTCCTCAAGCAGCAGCCGGCCCTGCCCGGCCTCCTCCGTCCGCGAGCGCAGCGCGTCCTCCAGCTGCGTCCTCGAAGCGTCGGCCTCCTGCAGCTTCAGCCGGCTCTGCTCGCCCTCCCTGGCCAGCAGCTCCCGCTGCGAGCTCAGGGCAGCCTCCAGGTCGGCGACCTGCGAGGTGAGGCTGGCCTCCATCCGCTGCTGCGAGCTCTCCGCCTCCTGCAGTCGCAGCCTCTCCTGCGCGACCTCCTCTCGCTGCGCAGCCAGGGCCGCCTGCAGCTGCTTCTCCGACAGCTCCCTCTCCTCAAGCAGCAGCCGGCCCTGCCCGGCCTCCTCCGTCCGCGAGCGCAGCGCGTCCTCCAGCTGCGTCCTCGAAGCGTCGGCCTCCTGCAGCTTCAGCCGGCTCTGCTCGCCCTCCCTGGCCAGCAGCTCCCGCTGCGAGCTCAGGGCAGCCTCCAGGTCGGCGACCTGCGAGGTGAGGCTGGCCTCCATCCGCTGCTGCGAGCTCTCCGCCTCCTGCAGTCGCAGCCTCTCCTGCGCGACCTCCTCTCGCTGCGCAGCCAGGGCCGCCTGCAGCTGCTTCTCCGACAGCTCCCTCTCCTCAAGCAGCAGCCGACCCTGCCCGGCCTCCTCCGTCCGCGAGCGCAGCGCGTCCTTCAGGCTGGCGATCTGAGAGGACAGTCCTGCCTCCAGCTGCGTCCTCGAAGCGTCGGCCTCCTGCAGCTTCAGCCGGCTCTGCTCGCCCTCCCTGGCCAGCAGCTCCCGCTGCGAGCTCAGGGCAGCCTCCAGGTCGGCGACCTGCGAGGTGAGGCTGGCCTCCATCCGCTGCTGCGAGCTCTCCGCCTCCTGGAGTCGCAGCCTCTCCTGCGCGACCTCCTCTCGCTGCGCAGCCAGGGCCGCCTGCAGCTGCTTCTCCGACAGCTCCCTCTCCTCAAGCAGCAGCCGGCCCTGCCCGGCCTCCTCCGTCCGCGAGCGCAGCGCGTCCTTCAGGCTGGCGATCTGAGAGGACAGTCCTGCCTCCAGCTGCGTCCTCGAAGCGTCGGCCTCCTGCAGCTTCAGCCGGCTCTGCTCGCCCTCCCTGGCCAGCAGCTCCCGCTGCGAGCTCAGGGCAGCCTCCAGGTCGGCGACCTGCGAGGTGAGGCTGGCCTCCATCCGCTGCTGCGAGCTCTCCGCCTCCTGGAGTCGCAGCCTCTCCTGCGCGACCTCCTCTCGCTGCGCAGCCAGGGCCGCCTGCAGCTGCTTCTCCGACAGCTCCCTCTCCTCAAGCAGCAGCCGGCCCTGCCCGGCCTCCTCCGTCCGCGAGCGCAGCGCGTCCTTCAGGCTGGCGATCTGAGAGGACAATCCTGCCTCAAGCTGCGTCTTCATCTCGTCGGCCTCCTGCAGCTTCAGCCGGCTCTGCTCGCCCTCCCTGGCCAGCAGCTCCCGCTGCGAGCTCAGGGCAGCCTCCAGGTCGGCGACCTGCGAGGTGAGGCTGGCCTCCATCCGCTGCTGCGAGCTCTCCGCCTCCTGCAGCCGCAGCCTCTCCTGCGCGACCTCCTCTCGCTGCGCAGCCAGGGCCGCCTGCAGCTGCTTCTCCGACAGCTCCCTCTTCTCAAGCAGCAGTCGGCCCTGCCCGGCCTCCTCCGTCCGCGAGCGCAGCGCGTCTTCCAGCTGCATCCTCGAAGCGTCGGCCTCCTGCAGCTTCAGCCGGCTCTGCTCGCCCTCCCTGGTCAGCAGCTCCCGCTGCGAGCTCAGGGCAGCCTCCAGGTCGGCGACCTGCGAGGTGAGGCTGGCCTCCATCCGCTGCTGCGAGCTCTCCGCCTCCTGCAGTCGCAGCCTCTCCTGCGCGACCTCCTCTCGCTGCGCAGCCAGGGCCGCCTGCAGCTGCTTCTCCGACAGCTCCCTCTCCTCAAGCAGCAGCCGGCCCTGCCCGGCCTCCTCCGTCCGCGAGCGCAGCGCGTCCTCCAGCTGCGTCCTCGAAGCGTCGGCCTCCTGCAGCTTCAGCCGGCTCTGCTCGCCCTCCCTGGCCAGCAGCTCCCGCTGCGAGCTCAGGGCAGCCTCCAGGTCGGCGACCTGCGAGGTGAGGCTGGCCTCCATCCGCTGCTGCGAGCTCTCCGCCTCCTGCAGCCGCAGCCTCTCCTGCGCGACCTCCTCTCGCTGCGCAGCCAGGGCCGCCTGCAGCTGCTTCTCCGACAGCTCCCTCTCCTCAAGCAGCAGCCGACCCTGCCCGGCCTCCTCCGTCCGCGAGCGCAGCGCGTCCTTCAGGCAGCTCAGGCTGGGCAATTCTGAGAGGACAGTCATGCTCAGCTGCGTCCTCGACGTCGGCCTCCTGCGCTACTAGCCGGCTCCTGCTCGCCCTCCCTGGCCTAAGAACGCCTTCGAAGCGTATCCAAGGGCAGCCTCCAGGTCGGGCGCGACTGCGAGGTGAGGCTGGCCTCCATCCGCTGCTGCGAGCTTCCGCCTACTGCTCAGTCGCTGCCTCTCTCTGCGCGACCTCCTCTCGCTGCGCAGCCAGGGCCGCCTGCAGCTGCTTCTCCGACAGCTCCCTCTCCTCAAGCAGCAGCCGGCCCTGCCCGGCCTCCTCCGTCCGCGAGCGCAGCGCGTCCTTCAGGCTGGCGATCTGAGAGGACAATCCTGCCTCAAGCTGCGTCTTCATCTCGTCGGCCTCCTGCAGCTTCAGCCGGCTCTGCTCGCCCTCCCTGGCCAGCAGCTCCCGCTGCGAGCTCAGGGCAGCCTCCAGGTCGGCGACCTGCGAGGTGAGGCTGGCCTCCATCCGCTGCTGCGAGCTCTCCGCCTCCTGCAGCCGCAGCCTCTCCTGCGCGACCTCCTCTCGCTGCGCAGCCAGGGCCGCCTGCAGCTGCTTCTCCGACAGCTCCCTCTCCTCAAGCAGCAGTCGCCCCTGCCCGGCCTCCTCCGTCCGCGAGCGCAGCGCGTCTCCAGCTGCGTCCTCGAAGCGTCGGCCTCCTGCAGCTTCAGCCGGCTCTGCTCGCCCTCCCTGGCCAGCAGCTCCCGCTGCGAGCTCAGGGCAGCCTCCAGGTCGGCGACCTGCGAGGTGAGGCTGGCCTCCATCCGCTGCTGCGAGCTCTCCGCCTCCTGCAGCCGCAGCCTCTCCTGCGCGACCTCCTCTCGCTGCGCAGCCAGGGCCGCCTGCAGCTGCTTCTCCGACAGCTCCCTCTCCTCAAGCAGCAGCCGACCCTGCCCGGCCTCCTCCGTCCGCGAGCGCAGCGCGTCCTCCAGCTGCGTTTTCATCTCGTCGGCCTCCTGCAGCTTCAGCCGGCTCTGCTCGCCCTCCCTGGCCAGCAGCTCCCGCTGCGAGCTCAGGGCAGCCTCCAGGTCGGCGACCTGCGAGGTGAGGCTGGCCTCCATCCGCTGCTGCGAGCTCTCCGCCTCCTGCAGCCGCAGCCTCTCCTGCGCGACCTCTTCTCGCTGCGCAGCCAGGGCCGCCTGCAGCTGCTTCTCCGACAGCTCCCTCTCCTCAAGCAGCAGCCGACCCTGCCCGGCCTCCTCCGTCCGCGAGCGCAGCGCGTCCTTCAGGCTGGCGATCTGAGAGGACAGTCCTGCCTCAAGCTGCGTCTTCATCTCGTCGGCCTCCTGCAGCTTCAGCCGGCTCTGCTCGCCCTCCCTGGCCAGCAGCTCCCGCTGCGAGCTCAGGGCAGCCTCCAGGTCGGCGACCTGCGAGGTGAGGCTGGCCTCCATCCGCTGCTGCGAGCTCTCCGCCTCCTGCAGCCGCAGCCTCTCCTGCGCGACCTCTCTCGCTGCGCAGCCAGGGCCGCCTGCAGCTGCTTCTCCGACAGCTCCCTCTCCTCAAGCAGCAGCCGACCCTGCCCGGCCTCCTCCGTCCGCGAGCGCAGCGCGTCCTCCAGCTGCGTTTTCATCTCGTCGGCCTCCTGCAGCTTCAGCCGGCTCTGCTCGCCCTCCCTGGTCAGCAGCTCCCGCTGCGAGCTCAGGGCGGCCTCCAGGTCGGCGACCTGCGAGGTGAGGCTGGCCTCCATCCGCTGCTGCGAGCTCTCCGCCTCCTGCAGCCGCAGCCTCTCCTGCGCGACCTCCTCTCGCTGCGCAGCCAGGGCCGCCTGCAGCTGCTTCTCCGACAGCTCCCTCTCCTCAAGCAGCAGCCGACCCTGCCCGGCCTCCTCCGTCCGCGAGCGCAGCGCGTCCTTCAGGCTGGCGATCTGAGAGGACAGTCCTGCCTCAAGCTGCGTCTTCATCTCGTCGGCCTCCTGCAGCTTCAGCCGGCTCTGCTCGCCCTCCCTGGTCAGCAGCTCCCGCTGCGAGCTCAGGGCGGCCTCCAGGTCGGCGACCTGCGAGGTGAGGCTGGCCTCCACCCGCTGCTGCGAGCTCTCCGCCTCCTGCAGCCGCAGCCTGTCCTGCGCGACCTCCTCTCGCTGCGCAGCCAGGGCCGCCTGCAGCTGCTTCTCCGACAGCTCCCTCTCCTCCAGCAGCCGCCGGCCCTGCCCGGCCTCCTCCGTCCGCGAGCGCAGCGCGTCCTCCAGGCCGGCGATCTGCAAGGACAGGCCCGCTTCCAGCTGGGCCCTCGAGGCGCTGGCCTTCTGCAGCTCCAACTGGCTGTGCTCGCTCTCCTGAGGAGCAACGTTAGTGGGGCAGGGTCCCTGGGGGGGGAAGCATCGATCTTAAATCGGCGATGCCCTGACATCCTTTCGCTGTTCACGATTGCGACGGAAGATGTTGCTAGTGTTCGGCTCTGGCGGCCCTCGCTGGGCCCTGGGACCGTCAAACCACGACTCAGGATGGAAAGCCAGTCCTGTGGATGGGGCCCAGACCTTTGCGGAGCGTGAACAATTTGGGCCATTAGATTCGCGCCCGTTTTGCCTACCCCCCCCACCCCCGCCCGTGATATTTCCCCCGACTAACGGATCGCGACGCTGCGCGCGCTTTCCGTCATCTCACGCCTGGGCTGCCTACCCCCCCACCCCCTCTCTTGTAATTTCTCCCGGCTAACGGATCGCGAAGCTGCGCGCGCTTTCCGTCATCGTCGATCTTGGATCCGAGCATATTCGAGCACTTTGGACCTGCTTGGCATGGGGACGAAAAGCGCGCTTACTTTGCAAAGGCGCGAGGTCGCTGGCTGAGTGTCTTGGATCCCTGTTGTTGTTCAGGCGTCGGTGCGTACGGCATCGGAGGTGAGGGGGTGAGATCGAAGTGGAACGGAGAGCCCCCCTACCGGGAGATCGATTTCGGTTTCGTGTTCGTGCGTGCCGTGCGTGCGGGCGAGGCGAAGCTGCGTGGGCGGGCGAGAGGAAAGTCTCCTGTGGCTGAGGCGCGGCCGGACCAAATGTCTCCCTTCCGGGCGGCAGGGGCCCCGCGGTGTCCCGCCGGTGTCCCGCTGGTGTCCCCTGTGGCTGAGGCGCGGCCCTACCAAATGATTCCCTTCCGGGCGGCCGGGGGCCCGCGGTGTCCCGCCGGTGTCCCGTCGGTGTCCCGATTATGATGATGATATTGATGATGATGATGGTGATGATGATGATGGCGATGTTGATGTTTTATTTTGATGATCGGTAGTGATATCGATTGTGAGATCGAACGTGAGATCGAATGTCAGATCGCTTGTGAGATCGATTGTGAGATCGATTGTGAGACCGAATGTGAGATCGATAATGAGATCGATAGTGAGATCGATTGTGAGACCGAATGGGATATCGATTGTGAGATCGATTGTGATATCGAATGTGAGATCGATTGTGGAATATATTGTGAGATCGATAGTCAGATCGATTGTGAGATCGATCGCTTGAATTAGTAGTGAGATCACTATCGGTAATGAGATCGATAGTGATTTCGATAGTGAGATCGATGATGCGACCGAATGTGGGATCGGTTGTGAGTTCGGTTGTGATATCGATAGTGATACCGATAGTGAGATCGATAATGAGATCGAAAGTGTGTTCGATAGAGAGATCGATAGTGAGGCCGAATGCGAGATCGACTGTGAGATCGATTGTGATATCGATAGTGAGATCGATAGTGAGACCGAATGTGAGATCGATAATGATTTCGCTAGTGAGTTTGATCGTGGGATCGATAGTCAGATCGAATGCGAGATCGATTGTGATATCGATTGCGAGATCAATAGCGAAACCGAATTTGAGATCGATTGTGGGATCGCTTGTGAGATTGATTGTGAGATCGATAGTCAGATCGATTGTGAGATCTACCGATTGAGATCGAATGTGAGATCGGTAGTGAGTTCGATAGTGAGATCGATCGAGTGCGACGTTGGTCCCTCCCCCCCCCTCACCCCCTTATCACCCGAAGGGTGGTCTATGCGGTACAATAATCTAACAACCAATCCTGCGAAAGTATATCAACATTGCATTTCCGGGCCTTCCTGGGGTCCTTTTGGGGCTCTGTTGGTCGTCTTGCGGCCCTGTGGGGCCGCCTTTGGACTTTCTTGGGCCGTTTTGGCGGGCTCGGGCCGTCTTGGAGCCCTCTGGGGGCCCTCTTGGGAACCTATTGGGGCCTTCAGGGGCCTCTCTTGGGCCATTTTGGAGCTCTCTTGGGCCATTTCGACAGGAGCCTCTGGGGCCGTCTTGGAGCGGTCTTGGAGGCCTCCTGGGCCGTATGGATCCTGCGTAGACCAACTAAAAATGTACGCTTTCCCACGGGAATTGGACGCTTTGTGCCTCTTGGGGGTCCCCTTTGCGGGTTTTTGTGACGTCTTGGGGGCCTCTGTCTTGAAACGACATGTGGCCCTCTTGGAGCGCTCTTGGCCCGTCCTCGGGCCCTCCTGGATCTCTCCGACGCCGTCTTGGAGGCATCTTGAACGCCTTTGGGGCTGTCTTGAAGTCATGGGGGCCTCTTGGGCCCTCTTGGGGCGGCTGGCTTTGGCCGTCTTGGGCCCGAAGTGGCCGAAACTTGGGGCGATTAGATTTGACGCCCGGACTGCCGACCCCCCCGCCTCCCCTTTGTATATCCCACCACCCCTCTGGGCGTAGGTGGTCTAACGATATTATTGCGTTCCTCTTCCGGAAGCCCCTTTTTCCCACTCGGGGAGGGGCTTATCCTTACTGCTTACGAGTAAACACCCCCGAACCCCCACCCAGCCGGCCAATAGCAGCCCCGCCGTCCGAACTGTCAAAAAAACAGCTCCAACTCATATTTTTCTCGGCAACATGTCGTCGAGTTGCGAACAGTGTAGCAAGAATGGGACGGAATGAACATCGCTTGGGGGCCCTAAGTGGGCGGTTGCGTCGCGCCTGTCAAAACAATACCGAATCAACGCTTTTCTCGGCAACATGGACTTGCTTGTCGTCGACGCTGCGAAAAGTGTAGCAAGAATGGGGCGCGGCGCGCATCGCGCGCGGACGCCTGGCCAACCCCACGCGGGACCCCCCGTCATACCTGGCAAAAAACACCGCGTAGTCGACGTTTTCTTGCCAACATGTACTTTGTCGTCGTCGGCGCTGCGAATCGCGTAGCGGGAACGGGACGCGGCGCGCATCGCGCGGGAACGCCTGCTCGTCAACATGGACTTTCTTGTCGTCGACGCTGCGGCCCGTTGAGGAGCTGGGCGGGCGGCAAATCATAATGCTTCAAGCAAATGCGGCTCGCCGCCGGCGCGCCCGTTCTTGTCCACGTAAGAGAGACCTCTCTCCCTCCCCTCCTCCTCCTCCTCGTCCCCCCCCTCCTCCATGCGCGCTCAAGTTCTCGGCCCGAGAGCATTTTGCCCTCGGCCAGCCCTCGCCTCCCCGTGGCACTCGAGGGACACCGAGCGGTACAGTGAGTGCACGCGACTGTATCCCTTGGTTGACGAAGAAGGGCATATACCTACTTTCCTTTCTCCCCACACACGCATGGCAGCACGCCTATGGAGCCGTTGTCGCGGCTGCGGACAGCATGAATGGAATGACGTCCTCGAACGGTGTGGCAGATCCTGCTCTAAGTGTCATCGGACTGTACGACTCCATGTCAGCCGCTCCAAGTCTCCAGGAACCAAGCGTGTTAGTTTCGAGGATCAGAAGGCACCTCAGGGCGACCCAGGTGTTGTCCCGAAGACCATCCTGAAGTCGAACTCTGCCGTCAGTGAAGTCGATCTCGGAGCCCTGGAACACCTAGCCAGCGCTATCAAGGTCACCCACGACCCAGTCATCAAGAATGCCTTGCAGCTCGAGTATGCGAAGCTGGACAGTCTTCGAGTTCGCGAGGCGGCTGATCAGGACACAGCCGCCGAGGCGGTCCGCAAGGCCGACGCGGCTTGGCGCGACGCCGACACCAAGCACTCCCAGGCGGTGGCGTCTGTGACGCGCCTGAGAGGACTACTCTCCGCAGCGGAGATCAAGGAGCAGGCGGCAGCGCTGCACCTTGCCAGCGCCGCGGCGGCGAAGCAGGCAGCCGCCCGCCGACTGGCGCAGGCCGAGGGTGTTGTACAGGACGGCACCTCCTCCAAGCTGTTCCACCTTTCCTGGGGCGAGAGCCTCTTTGCCGACGTCGCAGCCGCTGGGGAGCTCGACGAGGCCGAGAAGCGGCACGTGGCCTCGCTGGAGGCACAGCTCAAGGAGGCCAAGGCCAATTTGTGCAACCGTGAGGAGGAGATTCGTGGCTGGCTTGACCGAGCCGCGGAGCTCCGCAAGGCGATCGAGGATCGCAAGCTGAAGAAGCGCAAGGTGAACGGCCAGGACGAGCCAACGCCCACCCCTGCCGCTGACCACCCCCCCACAGCTGGGGCAGCTGGGGCAGAACCAGCCACAGCAGCAGCGGCGGCAGCAAGCAGCCCCCCCGATGCAGCAGCTCACGATGCTGCCGCCCAGGCTGAGGCAACGAAGCTCTCGGCCGCCAAGTTCGCCGCCGCCGAGGCCCTGAAGAAGGCTCAGGTGAATAGCAAGGG